GACAGGAAGTACAAGTAGAGACATGAGTGCAAACAGACAGGAAGTACTGACAGAGACAGGAAGTAAAGGAAGAGACAGGAAGTACAGTCAGAGACAGGAAGTTCAGGTAGAAACAGGAAGTAAAGGCAGAGACAGGAAGTACAGACAGAGACATGAAGTACAGACAGAGACAGGAAGTACTGACAAAGACAGGAAGTAAAGGTATAGACAGGAAGTAAAGGTAGAGACAGGAAGTACCGACAGAGACAGGAAGTACAGGTAAAGACAGGAAGTAAAGGCAGAGACAGGAAGTACAGACGGAGACAGGAATTAGAGGAAGAGACAGGAAGTACAGGTAGAGACAGGAAGTGCAGAGACAGGAAGTACAGGTAAAGACAGGAAGTAAAGGCAGAGACAGGAAGTACAGATGGAGACAGGAAGTACAAACAGAGACAGGAAGTACAGACACAGACAGGAACCAGACCCCCTTGCTGGATGTCTGGACTCTTCTTTCCTGGTCACTGTCTGGTACGTTTGTTCTTCCTCCAACAGGAAGTCCGTTCACAGTGAAGATTTTCGGCGAGGGCCGGATGAAGGAGAGCATCACCCGCCGGCGCCAGGCCCCCTCCATCGCCACGGTGGGCAGCACCTGTGACCTCAACCTCAAAATACCAGGTAGGATTAACCCCGTGTTACTTCAAAATGATGTTTAAAACCAGATAAAGTGTGGCTGATGCTAATGCTAATGCTAACACTTTGGAAGTGTTGTTCATCCTATTCTCCTATTATTTTTCTCGAACCTCAAAATCTTGATTCCAAACTAGTTAAACACTTTGTAACTGTTTTTTTAAACACATTGCATGACTTCAAAAAAAGAAATCTGAGTGGTACTGACTCGCATTCAAAAGATATTAACGTTTTCTACATTAATCTAAAGAAATTAGCGTCTCTCAAAAAGTTTTGGACAAAACTGGAATTTTGGTTACTTCAAAATGATTGTTAAAAACTAGATAAAATCACTTTTTAAGTGTTTTTTATTCTATATCCTGCCTCGTGAGACAAAACCTCAGTTTTTAATGGCTTAAATGCAAAAGTTATTACAGTATCCGACATTAATCTAAAGAAAATTGAATTGAATTGAATTTAATTGAATATACTTTATTGATCTCCAGGGAGAAATTGACTTCCAGTACAGCCCGTACCAAGATCAAACAAACAAAACACAGAGACACACCAGTTCAGGAGGACTGAGGGTTAGGGTTAGGGTTAGGGTTAGGACCCATAGACACACCAGTTCAGGAGGACTGAGGGTTAGGGTTAGGGTTAGGGTTAGGACCCATAGACACACCAGTTCAGGAGGACTGAGGGTTAGGGTTAGGGTTAGGGTTAGGACCCATAGACACACCAGTTCAGGAGGACTGAGGGTTAGGGTTAGGGTTAGGACCCATAGACACACCAGTTCAGGAGGACTGAGGGTGCACCATTTTTCTTCAGAACAAAAAGAATACTTTGGGAAAGCGGTTGCAGGAAGAGAGAAAAAAACACCCAGTGCCACGCCCCCTACAGGGGACGTAACAGTTATTTAAAAAACACCTCAGTACACTAAAGCACAGATACAGTCAAATCA